GGTGATCAGCTTGGCTTCATTGAAGGCCCCAGGCAGGTTCCTGGCCAGGAAAGCCACTATGAAGCAGATGGCAGAAAGGAAGCCCATGTAACTCAGGGTGATGTAGAACATGACAACAGACCCTTCATTGCATTGCAGGATGATCACTCCAGGCTGCGAGTGGAGGTCAGAGTCAGGGAATGGGGGAGAAACTCCCAGCCAGATGGAGCAGATGAGAATTTGGAAAGCAGAACAAGAAAGGATGATGGAGTTGGCCAAGCTCTTCCCCAACCATCTCCTCACTCTGTTCCCTGGTTTTGTGGCCAGGAAGGCCAGTACCACCGTGATCGTTTTGGCCAAGACAGAAGATATGGCAACTGAGAAGATGATGCTGAATACCATTTGTCGAAACAAGCACGTGACTTTCCTTGGTCGACCAATGAAGAGAAAGGAGGACAAGAAGCAAAGCAGGAGGGAGACCAGGAGGATGTAAGAGAGATCCCGGTTGTTTGCTTTGACGATGGGAGTTTCTATGTATTTAATTAATATGATTAAAACAATGCCTGTGGTTAAGGACAAGAGTAAGGCAAAGGAGACCAGGATGATCCCCAGATCTTCTTCATAGGACAGGAACATTATTCCTTTGGGAATACATCTGACTCGGCCCTCATTTGGATATTGATCTTCCAGACACTTTGTACATTTTTTGGTGTCTGAGGAAACAAGAAAAATTTTTTTTTTTAGAATTCCTCTTTTTACATTTCAAAGAAGACTTTCCTTGGATGACATCTAAGACCAAGAGCCAGGATCTGGATGAGTCTGGAAATGGGGAGAAATACATGGCCTGGGGAATGGAACTGAAGATGTCCCTAAAACAGGAACGTGCTTCTCTTGGAGAACATCTGAGATGAACGTCTTAACATTTCCATAGAAAGAAGAGAAGAAGAATGATAAGTATTTTTTACAGCTAAGATTCATTCTATGAAATTGGGAGGAGTCCTTGGACCATAAGGATTTATAGATTTATTGGGACCTACTTCATTAGAGGTATATAATGAATCATTTCCTCTTTTTGTATTCCTGCTATCATTTTATACTATTTATAATTCAACCCAGTATGGATTTATAAAAACTGGACATGCATCTGAGAATATTCATCTGGCAGCAGTTATTTTGGACATTGTCACAGATGAATTAGACTTCCTTTCCTTTCCTTTCCTTTCCTTTCCTTTCCTTTCCTTTCC